ATCCTTACGTTAATCTTCCATCTCAAAGTTCTCATCAACTTCTTCTTCTTCTTCTTCTTTATTATTATTATTATTACTAATACTAGTATTATTATTGTTATTGTTATTATTATTGTTATTGTTACTATTGTTGTTGTTATTATTGTTATTGTATTATTATTATCTATAATTTATACAATAAACCTCCTTGTGGTTCGACCTCGGTCTTACCGGGTTATTTATTATTTTGACACTCCTGTATTTGAGAAAAGATATCAATCTTTTGGTCGTGTTAACATATCATTTACTCTCTTAAAAAAATCCATATGAGCTGTGGAGATGTGCATCATGCAATTCATGATTTATGGCCACTATTTCATAAAGAACATGATCGACTTAGTTTGGGAATCTGACTAAAAAAGACCCTGTTTGCAAGTTTTTAAGAAAACTGAATGAGAAGCCTATCCCCGACCCATAGAAGGCATTTAAGGCCATGTGAGTCATAATCATAACTACCAGTACATACACATGCTTTTTCAAAAATAAATAAATAATAAAGAGAGAGAGTGTATGTGTATGTGACTCCAACTGGCCTACACATAGGTGGTATGATTGCCTTTTTAATTTCTCATCTATAAAATCCTCTCTTCCTTCTCTTCATTTCTACTCAACCCATACATTTACCAAATATAGAAGTGTGTAGAAATGGCAAGTTCCTCAAGTCATCAAATAAAAAGTATTTGTGTTTTCGGTGGATCTAGTCCTAGGAAAGAAAAGGAGTTTTTAGAATCAGCAAATCATCTTGGTCAGGTGCTAGCTAAGAGAAAGATTCATTTAGTGTATGGGGGAGGCAGTCTTGGGTTAATGGGAGGGGTGTCAATAGCTGCATTTTTAGAAGGTAGTCATGTTTTAGGGGTTGTCCCCAAAGCTTTGGCACAAGGGGATATCATTGGAAAAACAATTGAAGAGGAACTTCAGGTCTCCACATTGTCAGCTCGAATGAATGCAATGTTTAACCATGTTGATGTCTTTATTACCTTACGAGGTGGTCTAGGCACATTGGAAGAGATTTTTCATATTTCCTCTTGGGCCCAACTGCACATTCACCATAAACCCATATGTTTGTTAAATCTTAATGGTTATTATGATAAGTTGTCGTCTTTTCTTAATCATGCTATGGAACAGGAATTTCTAACATCTTTTGCACGACAAATCATAATCTCTACTGCTACTGTTGAACAATTGATTGACCAACTACAATCTTTCATTCATGTGATTGATCCCTCCATGAGTCACATAAATTGGTCATCTAAGGAAAGCCGTAAAAAGCTTAAATTAGATTTGAGCCTTTATTTGTGAATCTTTGTGTCTTTTGGTTTTATTATTGTGTTTTGTTGTTTCTTATATTTGTTTTAGTGTATTTCAGGTTTGTTAGTGTTTGTTATTTTAGGTGATATTTTCTATACTCTATCTTTCTACCTTAGAACATTGAGGACAATGTCTCGTTTTAGTTGGGGGGAGAGGGTAGTAGCTAAAAAAAAAAAACTAAATACGTTTTCTATTTTATAAAGCATGTGCAAAATTGTTGTTACTATGATGGCAGAGTAAAGGAAATCTTTTTATGACTCTTGAGACGCATTTTAGTAACCATTCTTAATAAGGTCTATCATAATACTTCTTAAAATATTCAAGTTTACAAACTCTCGCTTTATTATCACTTCATTTTGCTCATATGCTCATTTAACATATATTCTTAAACCTTAATTTACACACACACACACTTTAACATATGATTGTAGGTTGCATAATGGATTATTACATTATTTATGTTCTTTTGTTAAAGGTAACAACTAAGAGAAAGGGATAATATATAATTTGAAATAAAAACAAAAATAAAATAAAAAATGAATGATGATAATAAAACTGTAGATAAGTTTGATTTCGTAGCCTCCCTAACCTAAGCAATTAAGCCCGAAGGGGTGTTTTAACACCTAATACCCTAAAGTCAATTGACTTGGGAGCTATTGGCCCAACGCTTGTTACATGGGTTAAGGAGAAAAGCTTAAGGGAATCAAACGTTGCACTATCTACAAATCAGTATCTACGACCCGAGTTACTAAGCTCGTAGGGGTGTCTCAACACCTAATGCCTTAAGACCAACTCGTCTGGGAGTCATTAGCTGAAAGCTCGTTATATGGGTTAAAGATGCATGGTGTTTTAAGTTATATGTATATATATTTAAAAAAAAAAAATAATAATCCCAACCCAAGGAAGTTAACCTTAAACATTAGAATAAAATTTTGTTTTCTTCCAAGAAAAGCCCCATAATTATGTCTTGATATATTGAGCACAAAAGAAAGGTTTATTAATATCTTGTTAAGAGGTATTGAGCAGATATATAAATTTAATGAGAGTTGGTTTATCTGGATATATTAATGGAAGTTGAATTATGAATACCTTGCTTTGTGGAATTTGTAAACTGTTTTTCTATTTTAACATTTTGATTACTAGAGACTAGTAATAAGTTAGTTGGAGGGTGTGATTAGTACTTAAAAGTGCATTTTTATCAAGGTTTTATATCACCATTTTGCACTCGAAGTATCAATAACTCCTTAACTAAAGCATGTTTTATAATAACGTATCTAATAATACAAGATACCTTTAATTTATGGTAAATGTTCATTTTAAATGCAGGCCTATCACATAAATGAAAGGATTGATTGATGAATTTAAGAACTGAAATTGAAAGGACAAAGAGATGGCCAAACTTAGAAAAGAGATGTCGGTGCAATCCAAACTGGAATACTGTTCGGTAATTGGGTCATATCTGGAGCTGTAGATCTCAGATTTAGGTCTACTTGATATGGATGGAAAGGTAAAACATAGGCCTACAACTTTTATATGGAGCCCAAGATCTAGAAAGGTCATTTTCAAATCCAAATTGTAGCAATAACAAAGAAGTCTAAATTTGTCTTTCAGCCCGAGTACTATTTAGTGTTTGGCCCATATCTGAAGTTCTAGAAGTCCAAATGACCTGAATTGTCTACAACTTTTATGTTTTCACGTGGCTCCAATTTTGACGTTATCAATGATGTTTTAGGCAGACAAGAGAAGATAAGGATTGTCACCAAGTTAAGAGTTGGTCACCCACTCATCATTTAGTCATCAAATCAATAGTTTCCAATTTTGGCCTATAAAAAGAGGCATTTACCATGCATTTAGGCATCTTAGTTTCCAGATCAAGATCATGCTCTTGCTTTCTCTCTTTGTATTTTTTATAATGTTTATGCTTTGCTTTCATTAATATCAAGTTTATACCTTTCATTTCCTTTCATTTACTAAGGTAACTTTTATCTTATTTATGTTCTTATTTTGTTTATTTATTTTTCTTTCTCTCATTATGTCTAGCTAAGTTTATTATGTCAAGGTGAAAAGGTTACACTAATGGTGTAATAATAAGTATAGTGTAAACTTAATATGGACTTTAATGCTTGATACTAACATGTTTTATATTTGTTATCTTGTTCACTCTTTAATACTTTGCTTGTTAAATGACTAATCTTGATTTATGTTGTATAACACTTGGTACAACAAATGCTTGGTACTTTCATAGCCTATACTGTATGGTATAACCGATACCTGAGCTATGCAAGAAACTTGATTTGTTGTTAACATAAGTTATAATCAAGAATGTTTGACGAGATTTACAAGTATTAGCATTAATCGAATAAGATGACTAATGTAATCATGTTAACAATCTATAATCTAATTGAAACCTCCTTTATGTGTGGTTTCCAATTGAATAATAAGAGTTTATACTATACTTGTTTAACATACCATTAGTAGATCCTCTAACCTTGACATTTGTTATTATTATTGTTTAATCATTACATTAATATTCCATCTCAAAGTTCTCATCATCATCATCTTCTTCTCCTTCTTTTTCTTTATTATTATTATTATTATTATTATTATTATTACTACTACTACTACTATTGTTATTATTGTTGTTGTTGTTGTTGTTGTTGTTGTATTATTGTTATTTATAATTTGTACAATTAACCTCTTTGTAGTTCAACCCCGGTCTTGCCGAGTTATTTATTACTTCAACACTCCTGCACTTGGTAGAAGACATTAATCTTTTCGTCGTGTTATTACTATTGTTGTTATTATTATTGTTATTGTATTATTGTTATCTATAATTTATACAATAAACCTCCTTGTGGTTCGACCCTAGTTTTGCTGAGTTATTTATTACTTTGACACTCCTGCACTTGGAAAAAGATATCAATCTTTTGGTCGTGTCAACACTACTCTTTTAAAAAAATCCATATGAGCTTAGACATTTTTTAGTCAAAATACACATGAGCTTAATTGTGCTATTTTTTTAATTGTTTTTAATTTTTTGATATTCTAAAACACAATATTTTAAAATCAAATAATTGCATTATATTTTAACAATTATATGATGATACCATGATAATGCTAGTAATTACTTTATTAATAATTATATACTATCCTAATATGCATAATTTTTTTATATAGTTTTTTCATGAATATTGAATGGGAATAAAATATCTAATTTTTATTATCGTTAAGTTTTTATATAATTTTTTCAAATAAGTTATTTTTCTATTTCTACATATATCCTTATAAAAAAATTAGAGTATAATTTATTTTTTATTTAACATGCTTTTAAAATTATAATAAATGTTAGTTAAAAAACCATGTAGAGAATAATGTTTTTCCATAAAAAATATATATAATAAATTATTTTTAAGTAGAGAAATTTTTAAAAAAGATTTATAAAAAAAAATACGTGCGGGACACGGGTGTCTTGATAGTTGCTTGAATGAAAAGAAAAGCTTTTTCATGTCAGATGCGCATTACTCCCCAATTTTGTTATAAAAATAATGTGACCTTCACATATCAAACTTCTTATTAAATTAAATGAACATACAAGAAGTTTTTGCTTTGTGCTTCATCATAAAAATAAAAGAAAATTAAAATTAAAATTAAAATTGAATCAAATCTATTTATTAATTGAAAATGAAATCCACAGCGTGGCTCTTTGTAACCTACCATATTAGAGAAGCCAAATGCAAATTATACGGGGCGTTTTGATGTGAAAAATGATCTACAAACTAGAAATATGTTTCTGTTGTTGGACGACAGGAAGACTGCAGAGTTATGGTCTGTGGCTACTTTGGGCATCTTTTACAGTGTGAATATATCTATTTGCTAACTAGAATTGTTCAGAACATAGGCCCCAAAGTTTAGCTAAGAAAGCCCAATAACTTGGCCGAGATCCGACCCATGTGAAAATAATTACCTAGCCGAGGTAACTTTAACAAATAATTCCATTTTGTTGGGAAAATAAATTCACGGGAAAACATGGAGGAGATTTCCCTCACGCACACCAAATGATACGCTATGCAGCGCTGCACACACTAAGTGCTTGGATGTTTTGGCTGGGTTCCACCTCCACCTTACGCCACCATCCAACCCCAGCCCACCAAGCAACAAATCAAATACTCTCTCAAGCCCTGATACGATGACTGCTTTGTGGGAGAGCCTTAATAGTTGCCGGCCTGACTTGACTTGATAAGTGAATCAGCTAATTTGAAGTATGGACCGAATAATTCAGTGGAAAAGGCACCTACTACACTTGCTAATGATGGTGTTGCATGCTTTGCTTGCTGTTCACTTGCTTCAATTTCAATGTAATTCAGGATATGAATTAGCTTGATTTCTGTGACAATCTTTCTACTTGTTAGCTTGATTTCTGTGAAAATCTTTCTACTTGTTAGTTTCCATCATGCAGGCATCAAAATGCAGACTGAACAAGATGGTTGTGAAAAGAAAAAGTTTCATGAGATAGTATAGTATTTTATGACACTAATTCTTTTTAGGAATTCAACACTTTTTTATTGTAGGGTTTAAATATTCTATAGAAGATAGTACCTTACAATCCACTTTTTCCATCCTCTATCCAAAATCCACAGCCAACACTGTGATATGATTGAATGCCAAGCGAAACTGCAATGTCAGTCTTAAATTCCCAGTGATCATCTAGCCGGCGAACAGTTGTAACCTTCCACTCAAAATATTGATCATTTATGTCATTCAAGAATAAGTTTTTCTTTGACGAGCCCCACATTTTTCCTTAAGCCATCAATCATGTATTTGCAAGTTAGGCTATTTGGTGCAAATCCAACTTTCAGCATCCGTTCTTGCAGCTCCATGAACTTGGCCACATCACCATCTTCACAAACAATTCTGACAAGTGTACTATAACTCTCACAATCAAAAATTTGAAATTCCTTGGCAAACAATACCAATAACGATTCTGCTTTGCCAGCATCCTTTTCTCTGCAGTACCCATGTATCATGGCTCTGCATATTTCTGGATCAGGTTGCAAACCAAAATGAAGCATTTCTTCCATCAACTTTTCAGCCTCTATACTTCTGCCCATTCTACACAAGCAGCAGATGAGGGCTTTATAGGTAAGAAGATTTGGGTTTATGTTCCCAATAACAATCTCAGCTTTTAGAGATAATGCATCTGCTACACAATCACTTTTGCAGAGAGACTCGATGAGTTTATTATATATTTCCACATGAGGTATATAACCACGCTGAGACATTCTTTCCAGAAGAGTCTTTGCTGCAAACGGTCTATCCTCTTCACATAAAGAAGCTACTAGATAATCATAAATATCTGGTGAAATTGAAACACCAAATTTCTCAAGCTCCACAACCAAATTCAATGCGGAAATTAACCAACCCTCTTTCCTGTATCCTTGAATAAGAACCCGACAAGTAAAACTATCAGGGAAAATCCCATTTCCTATCATCTCATACAACAATGACTTAGACTCTAGCATCTTTCCTTCCTTGCAATAACCACAAATAAGAGTATTATATGAAACAACATCTGGATTCAACCCTCTGTGAACCATTCTATGAAGGAGTTGGTGAGCCTCTCTCACCCTTCCTTCTTTACAAAGGCCATTCATTAATGCAGTATATGAAACCAAATCTGGCAAGACACACCTTCTATACATTATCCTGTACAAATAAAACGCATCACTCAATCTTCCTCTTCCACAGTAGCTATTAATCAGCGTATTATATGTCACTATATCTGGCTCAAAGCCCTCTTCCTCCATCTTCTCCAAGAAATCATTCATCTTATTGATATCTCCATCCTTGCAAAATAGATGGGTCAGAATATTAAATGTATATGAATTCGGGATAACACCAACCCTTCCCATCTCTCCATAAACATGCCAGCAAAGATGGATATGATTCGACTTTAACAATCCATTCAGAAGATAATTGCAAGCAATCACACTAGGAACATAACCAACCTCTAAAATCTGCATAAAAGTCCTAAAACCTTCTTTAATCATACCCACTTTCACATAAGCCTTAAGTAACAAATCAAAAATAATAGGATCCCAATTACAGTCTTGACAACACAAAAACAAACATTGAAACACATCTTCATCAGAATCTTTAACCAACAGAATCAATTCAGTTAAGAATTTCATAGCTTGTTCGAATTCTTTAGACCAAGCTAAAACATGAAGAATAAGACAATAGTTAAGAGTAGAGGGTTTGAGACCCAGATCATTTTTGACCCAGTTAAAGAATGTGAGAGCTGAAACAGAATCGGACTGGCATCTCAATAAAACCCTAGAGATTTCATTGGCACCCAGATGATGAATAAGACCCTTTATGTCATCATTTTGTAGAAGGGTTAAATGGGTGTTGTCTCGTTTAAGAGAGGAGTAAATGAGATTGACAAAATTGTTGGGGTTTTGATTTTCAGGGAGGAAATTGTAAAGTGGATTTGAGAGAGAGATGGAGTTGGAGTTTTGTATTGTTTGAAGAGAAGAAGAAGAAGAAGGTACTAAATTCTTAGGAAGTGTGTGGTTTTGTGCATTAGATGCAAAGCTTTTTGAGTTTTTAAGGATTCTGATTGAAACTCTATTCATTACTTGCTAACTAACAGAGCAAAACAAAGGAAAAGGGGTGAAAAATAGAGGGAGATAAAGAGATAACAACCAGGTTTTGGTTGAGTTGGAGACTATAATCTATCAGATAGGGAGGACATGGAATTCCCTGTTCTTCGTTAATTTGGTGGTGCTACTTTTTGTCGATCACTTGATTGACTTGTATTCTTTTGTCATTGCAATGGACTTCCGTCCGTCTCGCATTGCTTTGCCTTTTAAATAACCTCATCCATCAAAACAGTACAGTTTTAATTTTTTAAAATAAATTTAAATTTAGTTTTAACTGGGTTATATATTAATTTATTAGATTGACTAGTTGATTTTAAGCCCTTTTTTTTTTCACCCTATCTATGCCAGTCATAACTGAATTTAATAATTATAAAAATAATTAAATATAAAATATTTATAATCTATAATTTGTTTTATTTAAGGAACAAGACTTTTCACTTTTTAATTTCGGTGCTATTTAATTTTATTTACTAACTCAATGCAGATGTTGAAAGATTATCATAAAAATATAGATTAGTATTTTATTATTGTTAATAATTTCAGTAATCTTATTACAGTATAATTAGAGATGAATTTTTAGATATTTTAGTTTTATATACTTAACAAATTCTAGCATTCTAAAATTTTTTGGTACTATAATATTTGGTATCAAACATACTTTTGCTATTTATACGAGGTCAAATAAATTATTTTCTTTAACTACTCTTAATCTTTCTTTTAAAGCAGTTTATTTATCATAGTTAATGAAATGAGCAAATCTATCATTAAAGGATTCTTCAATTGTCAAATCCTAGTAACCAGAGTTTAACTCAGCTGAACAAGATAATAGGAATAAAATACTACTCAGTTGTTAAATTTACTTCTATGTTTGAGGAATATAAAATTCATGAGTTGCTGGTTATTTAAACAACTTTATTCTTCATAAATTCTAACTTACTCTGATAATGTGATTTCATGTGAGCCCGTTCTTTATTCTTTATCTTTTCTCTTAATTGGGTGTAATAGACTTTAGGTGGAAAATCTATGTTCTAACCTATAATGTATTAGGCAATTTATAAGTAAATATATAATTAAATGCATGATCATTATGCATATGTCAACGCATATTGGATATGGATTTAAGAAAGATTATACTCTGATAATGTGATTTCATGTGAGCCCTTTCTTTATTTTATATCTTTTCTTTTAATTGGGTGTAATAGACTTTAGGTAGAGGATCTATGTTCTAACCTATAATATATAGGACAATTTATAAGTAAATACATGATTAAATGCATGATCATTATGCATATGTTAACGCATATTGAATATGAATTTAAGAAAGATTGAAAAGATTAATGGCATCAATTTGCTTATGTTATTTCTTGTCAGAAGTAATTCTATTCAAGTTGTTGCTTTGAATCATGTATATTAACAAACATATTTTATACAAAAGATAGGTCAAAACCCTTTTCCATAATAAAACTAACAAGTCCATTACATTACTTTTTGGAATACAAGAAAAGGAAAAGTACATCAATCTTTTTCTTTAACCATTAATCTAGTCAAAGATAGGAAAGCAAAAAAGCTATGATTCTTAATCATCGCTATAAAAATATTGGTCTTATTTAAGCTTTGATGGTAGCGGATGATTTCCTCTCCAACCTTTTAGTCATTGGTTCTTAGAATCTAGGCATATGTGATAGCTTCATCTATTCATTTATCCATCTTGGTCATCCTCTTTATGAGTAAACCATTGCTTTGGTTCAAGGTATTGTTGTTAATGTTAATCTAATCTTTATGTTTTTCTAATGCTATTAACTTCTTTTTCAAATGCTTCATCTTTTCTCGTTCTTTGTCAAGCTTTATTCTCGGCACCTTGATTTCTTTTCTTCTAATAATTAGATATGCTTCAACATCCTCAATTACCTTACCTTTTCCTTTAACCCTTGTTGTTTCTTGTATTTTAGCTAGTTTGCTTTTCATCATCACATATTTTTTATTAAGCTTCTAATATCTCCTAGCCCTATTTACCAATTCTACTTAAACTCGTGCAAATTTATCCTAATAATATTCCATGTTTCCTTGTCAGTCATTGAAGTCATACTTTAATGCTTCAACTTCAGAGTAGTTTTGCATCCAGTTTAGACCTAGTTCTCCTCTCTTTTTCTTATATTCTTTCCTTGTAGCATTTTCTTTACCTAGTTACAGCTCTAGTATTGTTATTCTTGTATCTTTGGATTAAACTTGCCTGTCTAGAAATCCCCTTTCTTTGTCTTTTTTGAGCATTACTGCTTCTAAATATGCTTTGTCTATTTTGCCCTAACTCAACTCTATTTAGAGTTTTTCTACTTGCTCTCTCAGCTCCTCCCTATTATTGATCTTTTTTCTTTTGATAGACTCTTTCATAACTTGCAAAAGTCTAGTTTTAGAATACAATATCCTAGGAACAATAGTGAAAGTCAAATCTCTCCATCTTGTATACTCCTCACTTGTGCTAGGGTCCTTCAAACTTTCAAACTCTTTTTTTTTTTTTATCATAATGAAGTGATTCCAATCTAGTTTGATAATTTTCAGGACCTTACATGCATATAGATTTTTGAATGACCTAGAAAATCAGGTAAGTCCAATAGTTCTTGGGATATACTAAATGTCTTCTAGTTTTTTTACCACAAGGGACAAAGTATAACTTACATAATTTGTAATCCCAACTAAAGGTACCTAATGCCTTTGCCTATAACTCATTAGAACATCTCCCGCTATGACCCACAAGGCTTTCCATTTAAAATTTCTACTAGGTAGCTCTTACAGCTTTTGTATCCAATCTTGATTGCCCAAGTTTCCTCATTCTTTTTCTTCCACTAATTTCAAATACCTTCAGTTAAACCACCAAAAATTATTGAAGATTAATTCTCTATTTTAATATGACTTACCATTTATATCTATAATAACTGAGTGCAACATTTTATTGCCTCTTTTCTAGTTTTTCTATAATAGTCGAGGATTAGTGTGGTTTTAGCCAATATAGTAGCAATAAGGTTAATTTGGATGCTTTCATAGTCCATAAATGTAGCGGCAGCTTTTAAACTTATTATACCCGTTAAGCTTAGAAACAACACTAGGCTAGATATACCTAAAGCAATTAGTCTATCTCTTTGCATCAAAGGTCCATGTTGTGACTTTTTCCTCTCCAACTCAACTTCTAATAGTTTCCACTCAACAAAATAACATTCTTCTCTAAAAATTTAGTCAAATTAGGAATTTTAAGCAGTTTTGACAATTTAGAAATTATTTTGTCATCTCTCAAAGGGAAATAAATCCTATACAAATAGTTGAGAAATTCCATCAACATTTCATATTCTCTTATAATTGGATACAGATCTACATTTTCAAAAGAAAAACACTTATAATCAGGATCCTAAAAGTGAACAAGAGCTCTAATAGTCAAGTTTAATATTTTTACCCTCATGATTTCTATCGATCGTCCATCCTTCCTAAAAATTACAACCTCATCAATATTTTAAACATGGGCCATCAATTTCTTCAGCTCATTTATGGTGCAATTCAGGGTCTTAATCTGTGGTAGTTTTCTTACATCACATCTAGGGCATTCTTATTCTAATAGTCGTAATAATTTAAAATTTTTCTCATATTATATAATGATAAATTCAATAGTTGTGGTCATCTTATTGTTCACAAGTCCTATAATTTAAGATGCTTAAATGTAAGTTTTAGTTCTTTTATATGAGACAAATGGTAGATTTATTATTTGATTTTAGTGTTAGATGCATATATGTTTGGTTTTTTTTTTTTAAAAAAAGACTAGACATGCTTGGTTTTTTGTTTTGTTAAATATCCATTAATTTTTTTTTCCTTTTTTTATTTTGAAATAAAATCATCTTTAAATCAATTCTTGACCTTTTTTTCCTTTTCCTTTTTCAATTTTTGAATAAAATTCTCTTTAAGTCATTGTTTTTTAATAATATTAGAGCTTTTATGATAATATTTACAATTACTTTATGAATAATTATGTATTAATTTAATATGCAAGTTTTTTTTTTAAGTTACTCATTAATATTGAGTGAGAATAAAATATTGATTTTTAATTTAAATTTTAAATATAATTTTCTCATATTTATTATGCATAAAAATAATTGATTCATGGTTTTTTTTTTTAGTTTTGGAATTAAGATTTACTTTCATAATCATAATAACTTTTTACTTAAAAAAAAAACAATACTTATCTTAACGAACGCATGTTTTTGTCAAAAACAAAGAAGAAATACAAGAATAAAGAAATTAATTGTTTAATTAAAAATATATATTTTATCCTTTTTTTGATCAAGTCATTAGAATTTTTGCAAATATATTTTTTTATTGTTATTTTTATTCAATAAAAGGATGCTACTAATAAAAAAAGAAATATTATTTTCCAAACAAATAATATTACATGAACAAGAAAGAGATGATTTTGATGAAAACATATTTTTCCTGAATCATTCGTTGTTTTATTTTTATTTTTTTCATTTTCTTAGGACAATATTGTAATACGTTGCTTGGTTAATAGAGGAAACTTGCTTTATTAGATGAACAACCTAGGAGAAAATACGAATTTCCCAAAGACTGACCTTTTAAGGACTTCCATTGGAACAGTTTATATTCATCAAGAAAACTAGACTACATAAATAAAGGGATTCAAGAGGGACTTTTTATCACTCGTCTTTCTACAAGGGAGACTCTTCCATATCGTATCATATCACTATTGATTTAGTTTATGAATGAGTTGATAAACCAAGTTCATCTAATAAAGACACTTTGCTTATTTAGAAGATACTTGAACAGCAACGCTTATGCACATGCCAGGCATCTTGCTACATTAGGAATCGCCTGCCTCTAGCAGGAAACTAGGCTAGGCACGCTTGCAAACAAAGCTTACCCATCCAAATCAGCCGAGGAAACCAAAAATGGAAGGCTAGGCTAAAGACATGACCACGAAACCACGAAAGGTACGACAGTTTCACCAAGGATATGGACTTTCATTTATCATCAGCATCGGCAAGACATATATCTAAACAGGACAACATTCACATGTGCATGTTCATAGCGTTCATGATCTTTCAATACAGGGAAAAAAAGACGATTCACAATCGAGATAAATTCAGTCATCAACAGGATCCTGAGGAGTTTCATCAGCTCTACGCTTAATTGAGATCACTGGACATTCAGCATGCTTCTGGCAAAATTCACTCACTGTTCCCACAAAAACCCTGCAGGATAGATCAACACGAGAGATTTCAAGATATCTGGGATCCCATTCAAAAGGACAACCATGAAAGCACTTGCCTAAGGAAACATTTGATATGTGGAATTTCTAGTGAAGTCATAATTGAAAAGTGTCAAGCATTCCATGAATGCAAGGACTGAGCAAACCTCTGAAAAGGGCCAAGACCGCGACTTCCAACAACCAGGAGATCTGGCTGGACTCGTTTTACTTCATGGCAAATTACTTCCTTGGGATCTCCTTTCTTCATCCATGCTTCACAAGCAACCTAGAAGCATTCAATGGAAAGAAGGTGAAGCTAAAACTAAAGGATTAAATACAACCAGTCCAGTTCATTGATGTGAAAAGTGGAAATGAAGATAGAAGTGAGGTCATGCGTAGGAAATTGACTATTACCCCAATCTCATGGCATCTATTGACAAAGTACTCCAGCAGATGAAGTCCCCTGGTCCTATTCCTATGCTTCATGTTTTTAAAATCCTCAGGTGAGGCATACAAGCTATCCATGTCATCAAAACCTATTGAAAAGAAAGTTTTATCCATGTCATCAAAACCTATTGAAAAGACAGTTTTAGAAGAAGAAGAAGAAGAAGAAAGAGTTGCAAATTTAGGAATGAGCATAAATGGAGGTTTCACAAGCTGTCCATAGCAGTTGTGTTGCTTCATTTTTTTCACATTACTAAAGAAAGCTAACATATCATCTTCGAAACGAAAAACGCTGAAATATGAACACAGTTGAATTTAAAGAACAAAATTAAATGATTACAAGGGAAAAAAAAACAAATATGATCCGTCAGATTATTTGGATTTTTGTTTCTTTATCCAATTCCAAAGCACATCTCACTTCAAAAACCCTAAAGAAATTCGATAAAGATTATTTAATAAAAAGAGAGGGAGATGTAGAGAACCATCCTCGTCAGGGACTTGAACATGGAGGAAAAGAAGCTTAAAACCAGAGGTATTGGATCGAACGATCTTTTGAATAGTCCAATCAAAAGCTCCGCTGCTACTAATCGATGCGTGTGGATACCCTTTTATTGTTGACTCGTTCACTCCCATCAATATCCGAGTTGCCTCAGCACCTTCCATCTTCTCTAGGTAACTCACTCACTCTCCTCTTCTCTCTCTCTCTCTCTCTCACTTCATATAAGCACAGGGGAGGCGTTGTTTCGCAATTATTGGGGCCCTAGAGGAGCCGAGCAATCTAATGGGCGTAGTGTACATATACAGGAGTGGGATAGTTTTAAAGGGAGGAGCTGTTACTAACGTGCGCTTCAGGCAGTTAACGGCAATGACTTGTTAGCTTTTGCATTTAATTGCTTCTTCTTCTTCTTCTTTTTTTTCTCGAAAAAAAATTTAAATTTAAATTTATTTCTTTTAAATTATTTTGCATTTAATTGCTTCTTCTTCTTCTTCTTTTTTTTTTCTCGAAAAAAAATTTAAATTTAAATTTATTTTTTTTAAATTAATTATTTTAATATTTTTAAATCATTTTAATGTTTTTAGATTATTTTGATGTGTTGATATTATAAAATAATTTTTAAAAAATAAAAAAATATTATTTTGATATATTTTTAAATAAAAAATATTTTTAAAAAATAACTGGTATTATATTTTTAAACATCTATTAAATTCTAAGGATAAATTTTATAGAGTATATAACTACTCATATTTATTTTAAACTAGATAGATATAATTAAAAGATTTAAGGTGAAGATTTGTTTTATATTTATTGGATTTTAAATTTTATTTTTTTCAATCATCTATATTAGTTTATGACAAGACCAAATGATTGATGTCTTCTCCCAAGTGTAAAAGTGTCAAAGTAATAAATAACCCGACAAGACAGAGTAGAGGTTAACATATAAATTACAAATAACAATAACAATAACAATAATAATAATACGTTAAAGAGGACTTTGAGATGTAAGATTAATGTGAGGATTAATAACGATAAAAACAAATGTCAAGATTAGATGATCCACTAATTGTATTAAAAATAAATATAATATAAACTCTTTTTATTACTCGATTAAAAACTACACACAAAGGAGGTTCCAATAAAATGATTTGTCATTAATAGCTTGTTATAAATTGTTAATATAATCATATTAATTATCTTATTTAAGTAACACTAAACGTTCAAATATTGTTAGGAATTCTTGATGCTAACTTATATTAACAATAAATCAAGTTTCTTTCATAACACAAGCATATGTTATACCATACAATTGGCTATAAAAGTGATAAGTATTTGTTATATCAAGTATTATATAACACAAATCTAGATTAACCATTTAATAAACAATGTATTAAGAATTAATAAGATAAAAATGATAAGACATGTTAATAGCAAGTTGTTTAGAATATAAACATTGAAGTCCATTTTGAGTTTATATTATATTTATCTTAACACCATTAGTGAAATATTTTCACCATAACATAATAAATTTAGCTAAATATAATGAAGAAGAGAAACATAAATAAACAACATAAGAACATAAGTATAGCAAAGAAAATGAAAAGTATAACTAAAAGATTAAGAAAAATATAACATGAAATAAAACATAAACATTACAAAAATATAAAGAAATAAATAAAAAGCATGATCTTGATCTGAAAACCAATATACCTAAATGCATGAAAAATGCCTCTTTTTATATGCCAAAATTTAAAACTGTTGATTTGATGACAAATTATTAAGTGGGTGACTACATCTTGACTTAACGACAATTCTTATCTTCTTTTGTCTCAACTTTCCAACAAAAAAAAAAGAGAGGTTCTTGCTAACATCCGAATTTGAACAAATAATCTCTATAAAAGTTATAAGAAATTGTCTCAACTTTGCAACAAAAAAAAAAAGAGAGGTTTATTTAGATTTTTAGAACTCGAGATATGAGCCGAATACTAAACAGTATCTAGGCTACAGGAAAATTTTAGAATTTTCTTCTGATGTTAAGATTTGGACTTCCAAATGGTAGAATTGAGTCTTGGACTTTGATTTGGACTTCCAAATGGTAGAATTGAGTATTGGACTTTATGAATGTTTTAGGCTTATATCTTATCTTTTTATCCATATAAACCAAACTGAAATCCAAGATCTATAACTCCAAATATAACCTAATGACTGAACAGTGTTCTAGTTTGAATTGAATCAGCATCTCTTTGCTAAGTTTAGCTTTTTTTTTTCTTTTTTTCTTTCAATAGTTAATCCCATCAATCAATCCTTTGAATTGTGAAATATGCTTGCATTTAAAAAGAGCATTTACTATAAATTAAAGCTATTTTGTATTATCAAACTTGTTATTATAAAACGTGCTCTAGTTAAAGAGTTATTGATACTTCAAGTGCAAAATGATGATATAAAACCTTGATAAAAATACACTTTTAAGTACTAATCAATTTACTATAAATTTTTTCAAATTGGCACCGCCATCTAGTCTTCTTTCAATTATATCTCCATTGGTGTTAGTAGAATCTCTTTATTCCTTTTAACTTAGGTTATGTTTGTGTTGATCTAATATGTAAAAATAGAGTAATCAACCTTATACTAATTAGCTAATTAATCATCAATTTTTAACCAATTATACTATTTATTCATTGTCTTCTTTCTTTCAATAAGGAGATGCTAAAATTATGAATTAAATCCAACAAAAAAACAGAGAGCAACCTCATAAAACCAAATAGAACATGGGTGTTCCAAGATCTCAAACTTTAAAATATATATATTTATTCTAAGTAGCACCACACAAGAACAAAAAAAAAAGAAAAAAAGAAGAAAATAAAACATGAATAAAAAAGGATAAATAAAGCAAGAAAATAAGTAAGTACATATAAAAAAAAGAAGAAAACAAGAGTTTTAAATAAACATAATGTTAGAAAAAAGATAAACTGAGTAAATTACAAAAAGAATTTGTATAGATAAAGTTGATCATCTTACCAAATAGTTGAATAACCCTATTTATATCAGTATAATGTTTAAGTTTTACCTAAACATCAAATTCTAATCGAATACAAATTATTTATATCAAATAAAGAGCTTACATATTTAATCTTGCTAAAATCTAAACTTCTCCTTACTAATAATCACATGAATCATAACTAATTTGCAACTTTAACTAATCATCAAATAAAGATTTATAAATAACGTTAGTTTAGAAAATATAAGACTTGGTTGTTGGTGGCCATAAGTTCTCACTAGTTGATTTTAACGGTCTCTACTTTTTTATTATTTTTGTATTGTCTTCATAATTGTTGTCTAAATCATACAATCGGCCAAGTATAGCTTTAAAAAAGCAGGAAAAACTGGATACCATATTTGTATATATGTTTTCATCATAGTCATTTGTCTCTATATCATAAAGAATTCCCAATCTATAATCTTCTTTACAGGTGCCTATACTTGATTAGTAATGGATACTTGACCAAACTTATGTCTAAACCAAGCATTTTATTATAATCCTAAGAAAAAATGTTTTATAAGTGTAGTAGTTATACCAGATCTTTTTGAAAATCTTATAGTAAAGTTTCACTTATAAATATTAATTTAAGCCAATCTTTAGTTCCCAAATTAACTTTAATTAACGAATCCTAAATTTCATCTTATTCATCATCCATCATTGGTTCTGTTGAAAGAATAATTATCATTTCATGTACGATCAATTGATAATCTTGATGCATTTCCATCAAATAAATTTTTTTCTTATCTCTAATGCATCTACAAGCTTTGTTAAAAGCTTTAACACATGCAACTAAGTTGTAGTGAATCATTTATTAAAATGTTTCAAATTCCTGACCATTACTTTTCAAATACAAGTTATTTGGCCTAACAAAGTCTGCTATTAATTTTCATGTATATGATGCCTTTTTGCTTACTAAAAACTTGATTGGGTGATAATGTTATTTAATCAGTACTTAAAAGTGCATTATTAAATGTTATTTAATTAGTACTTAAAAGTGCATTATTAAGGTTTTATAACATCATTTTGTATTTGAAGTATCAATAACTCCTTAACTAAAACATGTTTTATAATACCATATCTAATAATATAAGATACTTTCAATTTATAGTAAATGTTCATTTTAAATGCAGGCCTATCACGTAAACAAAAGGATTGATTAATGAGTTTAAGAACTGAAATTGAAAGGACAAAGAGATG